TAAGATTAACCACTCCCCTTTTTTTGTTACAAAACTTCTACCTTTATAATCATGACAGTCGTGATTAGTCATGATAACAATTATTCACTATTGAATCTTACGAATCTTATCCCCATCTCTTTTCACCAGACCCATCTAGACAAGATGATAGCTATTCAGTGGGAACTCTTTCTTTCCCCCTATATTCTTAAACTAAACACCCTCTTGAAACCTTGTAAGCCAGTCACTTCGTGCCTTTATTGCCCCCTCATTTTAGGTAGCCAATGTCTCTAAGTTGCCCGCCCCTATCTACCCTGTGCACAGAGGAGATAGCATTGATACTTGATTTGAAGACTCTTTCCCTCTTTGTTGGTATTTAGAGTCACTACCGCTCTGAGTATAGGTCAGGTTCATCATGAAGATGTATCTTCTGTCACTGTAGCTGTTCCAGTCTGCTTGTCATTTCTAGTGGGAATGTCTCACCTCACAAGGTTGTGGATGGAACTCAGGATTCCATCTAAGGTCCCATACTCTAAAGGCTTTGCATGAGGCCTATTTCACTGGGCAAGTTGTAGAATCCCTTTTAGGTATTCTAATCAGTTATAGGCTGAAGACGGGCTTACAAGTTTTCTCTGATCATGTTTCCCAACATTCCTTTCTATCCCACTCAAGTGTCTATTTTACAATAGTAGGCAAGGGAAACTAATATTCATAAGGCAATCAAGGATTTTAGTATTATTTACCCTCTTCAAGCTATACCTAGATCCCTGTATCCCAAAGCGCTGTTCTTCCAAGGTTGAGTATGCATCACTATTTCCCTCTGTCCCACTAGGCCATGCAGACCTGTCTCAGTGTTCCCCTATCTATCTAGTTCTGCCTCCTCCTCCTTTCTTGTATTGCCCTCCCCAACACCCAAACTAAACCCCCCACCCCAAACCCATTGTGGTTACCTTATATTCCATGAGTTCTAGCCTCCATTTAGGACAGTCTATTTTATCCAGTAATCTACCTGACCTTCCCACTACCTGGGTCTCTGTTCTTCTGTGTTTACCTTTTTTCACATTGTAATTGTTTTGATCATAGACTGAACTCCCAGATCCTCTGTTCTTATAATTGTATTCTGTTCTTGACTCTTTCATTTGTCAACTGAGTTCAGGTTGATGCTGCCATGTACGTCGTTCTGTAGTTATGTGTTCTTGTTGGTTCTCAGTCCACAGAACTTCCTTTAGGATGTTTTTCATAGCAGGATTGGCTTTGGCAAAATCCCTTAGCTTCTGCCTATCCTGGAATGTTTTGATTACACTACAGTATTTGATTGACAGCTTTGTTGGGTAGAGGATTCTTGAGTGGCAGTTTTTTTCTTTCAGGGTTTTATATATATATCTCCCCATTGCCTTCTTGCCTGCATGGTTTCTGCTGAGAAATCCGAGCTTAATCTTATTTGCTTGCCTTTGTATATTTCTCTTTTCCCTAGCTGCTTTCAAGATCCTGCCCTTATCTCTGATTTTGGAGAGCTTGATTATTATATGTGTTGGTGATTGTCTTTTAGGGTCTATCCATCCTGGGGTTCATTGAGCTTTGTGAATGCTTATCTTTTCACTTTTCAGGATGTTAGGAAATTTTTCTTCCAGAAACTCTTCAACTATCTCCTCTGTGGACCTGTGTGATTGTTCCTGTTCTGGAATGCCAGTAATTCTTATGTTATTCCTCTTCATGTTGTCCAACATGAATCGTAGGCCTTCTTCAGATTTTTTTTCTTCTTTTGTGTTTGTTCTTCTATCTTAGTAGTGTTGAGAGATTTATCTTCTAGCTCACTAGTTCTGGCTTCTAGCTCTTCAGTTCTACTCCTTTGCCCTTTCAGTGTATTGGCTATTTCTGATATTCTATTATGAATCATTTGGCCGTCTTTCTGTAGG